GAGCGTCTCGCCTCAGCATCGGTCTGCGGCTTCCCGGGCTCCGGACTACATTTCCCATCGGCCCCCGCGACGCACGCCCGGCTGGCGTTCGCTTTCTGCGTCACAGCTCATCACTCGGGGGCCCCCAGACCCCTTCGGTGGGTGTGGAGGGGTCCCGACCCCCTGGAATTAGTTGCGGGTGTTTTGCATGGATTCTTACGCATGCCTTTTTATTATTTTTTTTTTAATCTAGGCTGAAATCTTGTTCCATGACATTCACCAAGAGTTGCAAGGCCCCAAAAGATTTAGAAGCAGAGACTTAACCCTTGGGGACATTTTAGATGATTTTGTTCAAAATCTGTGACCAACAGTGGGGAAAGGGTTGAGGAAATCCGGGGCCATTCATGCAATAAAATATGACAGATCATGCTAAAACGGTGCTCAGAGGAAGGAAAAATTCCCGTTACACCATACCCAGGAACATTCATAATGATCTCATTTACACATTACTTGCAATGAAATATTTCTGAAGAAGAAAAAAATAGTCATGTGCCGGGCACTGTCCTAAACTCCTTTATAAACAGCTCAAGAAGTGGTTAAGTGAGGTCACTCTTAACACTTGGATGTTTTCTATTCCAATTTCTTTTTTTTAAAAATATATTTTTATTGATTTTTTTACAGAGAGGAAGGGAGAGGGAAAGAGAGTTAGAAACATCGACCAGCTGCCTCCTGCACGCCCCCTACTGGGGATGTGCCCGCAACCAAGGTACATGCCCTTGACCGGAATCAAACCTGGGACCCTTCAGTCCGCAGGCCGACGCTCTATCCACCAAGCTAAACTGGTTTTGGCTCCAATTTCTTTTTAGGATTTTTACCCCCCCTCCCCCCATGTGTCCGCAGGGGGGTGGGTTTGACTTATTTTGCTGAATGTTCTTAGGTTGTACAAAGGGTCCATTTGTGGATGTCATTCATTGTTGTGCCGCACCAGCACGGCCAAGGGTGAGTCTGAGGAGGGGCGGTGAAGGGTTGAAGAAAAGACAGAGAATACAGCTGGGGCTTGGTGGATCTCCCATGCCTGGATGAGGACACAAAAGGCCTAGCCTGCAAGCTGATGCTTTATTTTACAGTCTGATTGAAAAAACAAGGGCAGATTAACATGTAGACAGATGTTCTTGTCTTGGCATCACTTAGGTTTGGAAGGAAGGAATTAGGGAGGGCTACAAGGTCAGGCTTAGTTATGCTAGGACAGTGGTCAGCCAACTCATTAGTCAACAGAGCCCAATATCAACAGTACAGCGACTGAAATTTCTTTTGAGAGCCAAGTTTTTTAAACTTAAACTATATAGGTAGGTACATTGTTATTAACTTAATTAGGGTACTCCTAAGGCTTAGGAAGAGCCACACTCAAGGGGCCAAAGAGCCGCATGTGGCTCACGAGCCACAGTTTGCCGACCACGGTGCTAGGAGAGCTCTGCCCTCCAGGCTGGGGCTTGTTTGTGGCCCTGCCACAGGCCAGACCCAGGCTTGACCCTAGAGCCGCTCCCGACAGTTGTCTGTGGGCATCGACCATCTGGCTGGGCCCAGATTGACCCGACCACTTGCCTGCTTGTGGCCTGTACTGAGCTAATTTTCGGTTCTGTTTTCCAGCAGCTGTTCGTGTGCACACAGCTTCGCCTGCTGTGATGTCTGTGCAGCGGCCTCTCTATGAGCCGATCATGGAGCGTGGGACCTGCTTCATCTAACTGGCCCCCTGCACCCACACTCCATCTGTGGACTCAAGGTAGGGCCCACGGCGTGGTGTCCACCGGGCCTTCAGTAGGGCTGTGGGCTCTTTGTGAACGTGGAAGTTGGGGGAAATGTCCACGAGACTTCTGAAGGTATTCCATTGTGAGCATGCGAGTCGGATGGTCTGGTTTTAGGGAAGACTTGGTTCTTGGTTGGGCGGATCCGGATCAGGCCGGCTCTCTGGGGCTTCCTCTGGCCTGAGGTCAGGCTTCCTTGTCTGTGAGATGCCACGTGGTGTTAGTCAATGGACCGGGTCTGAGCATCCCCATCTCGGATTTGCACCAGTGACGTTCTCGGGGAAATGGGAGAGAAAGGCCACTGGGTCCCTGTGTCCTCGCAGCCGCTTGGGGGTCTCGTGGAGTTGGGTGAGGGCCCCAGTTTGTCTTGTCTCCCTCGGATTGGTCGGACGGTGGGGGTGAACGGGATGGGGACTTGTAACCATGGCATCCTGGGAGCTGCCAGGCAAGCCTGGTCTCTTGTGTTCGCTGTTTCCTTCCCCAGCTCTGCCCCCTCAGGACTCTGGCCTTCCCCGAGAGTAGCCGGGAGGAGGACCCCTCAGCCCATGACATTCCAAACGTCATGTCCATGGTGAGTTTCTAGATCCTGTAAACACTCGCTTTCCTGGTCCCAGCGCTTCCTTCCCACCTGGGCTCCATCCAAGAGGGTCAGATGCTCAGAGATTCCTGTTTTCAGGAGTGAAAGGACTGGGCAGCCCGTGTCCTCTCCTGGTTCCCTCTTCTAGCAAAAATTGTTGGTTTGGGTTTATTTTTCTTTGACTCCATCAAAGTGGAAGTTCTGGGTCGCCCTGGAGAATTTAGTAAAGTCACCGTTGGGAACACTCCATGCAGCTGGATTTTAATTTTCACCCCAGACCTGCATACCAGAGCTTTGGTGAGTGTAGTAAAAAGGAACATCCAAGAACATTTAAACCCTAGCTGGTGTGGCTCAGTGGGTAGAGTGTTGGCCAGCGGACTGAAGGGTCCCGGGTTCCATTCTGGTCAAGGGCACATGCGCAGGTTATGGGCTAGATCCCCAGTAGGGAGCGTGCAGGAGGCAGCTGATCCATGATTCTCTCTCATCATTGATGTTTCTATCTCTCTCCATCTCCCTTCCTCTCTGTAAAAAATCAATAAAATATATTTTAAAAAAACACACACAAAAAAAATAGTTTTGAAAAAAAAAGAACATCGAACTCACACCCGTGTTCTCCCGTCATCTGCTCGCTTCAGGGGCCTCCAGCCCCAGCCTTTTCCTGCAAAGACTCCCTCCACCTCCTCTCCTCCCACCAAGGTTCCCGTGAGGTTCGCATGTAACACACCTGCCCATTGTTGCAGGGGTCAGACCTGTTCAGGGATGTGGCCGTCCTCTTCTCCCGGGAAGAATGGGAGTGGCTGGCGCCTGCTCAGAGGGATCTGTACAGGGACGTGATGTTGGAGACCTACACCAACCTGCGCTCGCTGGGTAAGGGCGCCTGGTCTGGTAGGTCGGAGGGTACCCGTGGGTGGAGGTGTTCCTGCCTTGTCAGTGTGAGGGGTTAAAGGGCAGCTCCCTGGGCTGAAGCTACGTTGTCGCCAGGTCTCAGGTGACTGTCAGGTCGTCCCCTGTCCCTTCCCACTATGGCCTCTCATCCTCGATGACCAGGTCCTGGGCCGGAGCTCTGGGGCCGCACCATCACCGGGCATCGTGTCTTTTCTCGCATCCAGATCTCGCCATTTCCAAGCCTGATGTGATCGCCTTCCTGGAGCAAGGCAAGGAGCCCTGGAGGGCGGAGGAGGCAGCGGCGGGAGGCCTGTGCCCCGGTGAGCGAGGTGCGTGCGGGAGGAGGGAAGCCAGCGCAGGTAACCGTCCAGCAGGTGGGGAGGAAGCCGGCCCTTTGAGGTGGAAAATAGTTCCTCTGAGTCGCCAAGCTCAGAGGTCAGGCCAAGGAGGTACCTTCGGTGGCTTGTCAGCAGCACTTAACAGATGCTCCCCCCGGAGCATCTCCTGTCTCTTGCCCCTGTCACCTCTCTAACCCCCTCGACCCCCATGGTGGGTCCTCTCACCATCTCTAGGTTTCGGCTCAGACTCGGCCTCTTTCTTCCTGTTCATCTCCCTTCCCCAGAACCTTCTCCGCTGCCAGGCTAAACACCACCCATGCTGGGCTCTCCAGGATGGCGCGGCTGATGCTACACGGCCTTTGACATTTAAATGAATTACAATGGCCCTGACCAGTGTGGCTCAGTGGATAGAGCGTCAGCCTGCAGACTGAAGGGTCCCAGGTTCGATTCCGGTCAGGGGCATGTACCTTGGTTGCGGGCACGTCCCCAGTAGGGGGTGTCCAGGAGGCAGCTGATGGATGTTTCTCTCTCATGGATGTTTCTAACTCTCTATCCCTCTCCCTTCCTCTCTGTAAAAAAA